GACAATATCGAGCTAATGGCTGCGAACTTCGAATATATCTCATGAAACTACGTTCTATATTACATCGAATTAGGATTATTTTAGAAATCGATATGAGATTCAAAGTGTAAAAATGTCTAGTACTTTGAATGTTTTAGAAAATTATTCGAGATAAAGATGTATAGAACTACTGAAAGTTACTTTAGATTCCTTTTCCTTATTCTGTAAATTCATTGATTGGAATATGAATGCTACTGGAAGCATGAGTATTTTCACAGGACAATGATATAAATGGAACTTTAAAACTTTTTTAAGTGTTACAGTGAGATATCGTTGAAATGACTTGAGCTTTTTGTGAAGTTAGAGACATTAATTTACTAAATGATGTGAAAAAAAAATTTGAAAAAGTTGCAATTCGTCCGAATCGTGAAGAAACTATTAAAGATCGTGTTTTACGACTTTTTAATCTGAGGCTATAATGAAAATTTAATAAATACATATCGAAGATTTATGTTAGTTATGTACATACTGAAACTTTCATTGAAATCGGTTAATAATCGTTTCTGATTGGTGGAGAAACCTAACAGTTCTTTACACGCGACACATAATCTGTATATTTTATATTTTATATTTTATATTTTATGTTTTATGTTTTATATTTTATATTTTGTATTTTATATTTTAAGTTTTATATTTTATATTTTATATTTTATATTTTATATTTTATATTAACGACATCAAAACAAAAATTCGAGTTATATCGTATAAAGTGAAAGAATAATTAGAAACAATAAAGAATAATGAATAAATTAATGATTATAAATAATGATCTACATGTTACGTAGCAAATCATTGTTTTAGAATTTCTTGTTTTTTCTACTGATTTTTACAAACACAGTAATGTAATTCATCGTAAAATCATATTGAATACGTTTTTCTGTTTAAAGATTAATGACTTACGATTGCAGTGAGCAAATTCACTCAAGATAAAAAAATCGCAATCACGGTCGTGAATGAAGTTAAATCACAATCGTGATCGTGATTCGACGATCACTGTGATAAATCACCGTTAGTGATTTTGCACGCCATCTCTAGTAAGAACAGATATTTTTCTATTATTTGTTTAGGATGTTGACAATCATTTCAATATACTTACAGAGAAATGTGGAAGGTAATTTTTTCATAGGACTGTTTATTGAAAAATCACAATGACATAACGTACACAAAACAAATGCATGATTACTACCTCCCATAATGTGCTACTGATTTCGTTGCATCAACTATACGAATCGTATTTCCATCAGATTCAACGCGCAACTATCTTTGTGTACAAATTATATTAAAATCCTTTGAGATATAAAAAAATAGATGCCTCAACAATCTCGCCTCATTCAATAGATTTTGATAGTATTTTTCTCTTGCATCTTTTGATATTGGTAAAATATATATAAAAATAATCTATGAGTACAATCGTTTTGTAAAATATACTACTATCTTGGTAATATTTTTTTTTGCGTTTCAAGAGCTTCACAGAACAGGACTGTTCAAAAAACACTTCTGTTTCTTGTAACAATCAAAATCATTTCACACAGTCTGGTATACTGTTTCGAGAACTGAAATCCATTTAGACGAAGTAAATCTTATAAAAACGTATTTTTGCATTTTCATCGCGATATTGTTTGATAAAACGGTACAAAAGTTAATACTTTAGAAAAAATACGCATAAAAGAAAATTGCGAAACATTATCTTCATACCGATTCCCCATCCAAAGCTATTACTAGAATAGTCTCAATTATGTACACGTATCTGTAATGTAGAGATTAAATAGGATGGGCTGTGTCATCTTTCGGTTAGAATATGTCGAGAAATTAAAATAAATAACGGTACATAGTCGGATAGTGTGGGGTTGATACTGCTCTTCAAAACGCTAATGTGCTATTGGACAATATGTACAAGATCGGCTTTGCACGGCGTATACATAAGCTTCTTAAAATCACGATCGACAAGAATTCCGTTTTCTCGATTGCCTTAATAATGTACATGATCGATTCGATGGGGACCGACTTAAAATTTCTGAGTCACATATGACAATTTCATGTAACGCACATAATGAACCATTAAACTGGTATCGTAAGAAGAGAATAATAATTGTACCCGTAATCATAACCTTCGCGACATCATCGCCACACCTGGCCTACAGAGACTCCTTCTATCTGAAACTCGTCTGAAAAATGAGGAGTGCATGATTTTGTTGCAAAATGAAACCTCAGAGAACCGCTTGTAAATACATTAGGTAATGTTTTACAGAGCACAAGTTTTAAATTATTTACACTGTGCTTTGAAATCATTATCTAGATTTCACCGTCGTTGTTTAATGTGAGAAAATCATGTACTTCCTCATGAGGGTCATCCTCATATGAGCTGTCCGGTACCTAAACAGAAAAAAGATGAAAACATAAACATGTGAATTATTACATTACATTAACGACGATGTTGATCTTCCTTACCTTCCACTGTAACTGATTGCCAACATTATAAAGTTCTTTCAACGATTCGGTTAATTTTCCCGATCTTTCTAATTCCTCATATTTCCTATATAATTCAAGAGCTGCAAGGGCATCTTCTGCCGAATCGTGCGTTTCAGATTGAATTTTTCTACCCAAAAAGTGCCACGTTAGAAAACGCAATGACACCATGCGATGATGAGGCAAATGGAATAACAACACAGTATCTACTATCTGTTCTGCCGGTACAACTAAATTTATTACTCTGAAAAAGCCGACGATAAATTTAATTACACGCCTACGCTATGTTTATATGATTGAGAAAAGTTTATAAAATTATCACCTGAAATCATTTTTTAGTCCATGGCCAACAAACACTATACCATTGTCAACCAAAAACCGCAGCTTTTGATAAGTTGATTTAAGAGTAGTCAAGTGTTTGCTGCTAAAGTTAGCATCCAAATCACCTGGTTGAATTCCACTGAATTTTGTAAGGTAGTCAACCACTTGTTCTTGAGTGCTTATGTAATCATCTATGAAAGGAATACCTTCCAAAGGACCTTGTCTGCTTGAAATATTAAATACTTTAAGTATACACTATTAAATTATAAACAATACTTCGTTGATGGTTATATGAAGTTGAAGAGAGGTGTAGAAAAACAAATGAACGTAAAGAGTGAACTTCATCTTAAGCCTATTCGTGAACTCTGAGGATACCTAATCTAAAAATGGCTTTCACGTAGTTTTGCTCACAGCTATAAAAGATTCTATCCGTAATGATAATGGGATAAAATATAACTTAAATTTCAAGTTTTTTCTTGGATAGGATTGAGGTAATAGCAGAATATTAAACAATTGTACACACCCGCGTATACAAGTAATTCGCGCAACAGACATATGACTCGGTTTTATAGTAGACATTTTCCCGTCACTTCGAAGTTCAGACTCCTCCTGATTCAACGTAACAAATTCTGCATCGATTCCGACTAGTTCTCCTACAAAAATATTTTCATTATCAATTATGCTATTGTATAGCTTGAAAAAGTTTTTCTTCGAAACTTTTTTTGTTTTGCTTCAACCTTTTTTCGGCATTTCATCTGATGTCAAGGGCGTAAATGTGATGCCTCTTGTTCCTCCACTACGAGCGATACATTTGTCTTCTCCAAATACATCGTACGTGAGGGGACTAACAAAAGGTGCTGGTTCGGGTGCTGGCACAGCCGTGTAATGAAGAACGCAAGGAACTTTCCAATCGAGATTAAACCAAACTGCTTCTTGTGGTGTCACTGCTGATATGCTAAGACAAATGTACAAGTTTCAAATTTAAATTGTGGTACTGAAATTGTCAATATTTTAAAACCATGCAGCAGCAAGAGCTGTGAATACCATTCGTTAAATATAAGTATATAACTTAAATTAATAATATTGATTCATCTTTGCTATATAATCTTTAAAACACTATAATAGTAATTTATCAGTATTTCTTAATTTCCAAATTTTATATTACACGAATAGAATAGTTTGTTTGACTTACCAAAAATCATTAAGAATATACCACTGTGAGACCGCACTGCCACTCGACCTTTCATGATAATGTGGTCCGACCCGTAGCAACGCAACAATGTTCCTCCTGTCTTCGTTATTTTTATCATCGACGTAACAAATAACAGCACTAAGGCTATACTTTTTATAAGGCTATACTACTTATATTTCGCGAAAATAGTAAGACGTGGTTGTCATTGAATAATTTGTGATAGAATGCAAATTATTAGCATTTTGCTTACTACAACCGAGCTTTCTTCACTCGCATCTGTACTTCTACCGTCGCCATTATCTGGTGTTGTGGTGACATAATTTTCTGTTTTCTTTGCGTTTGATTCCGCTGTCAGACTCTTTGAGTCCTGTTGCGCCTTACCGTCACCTTGGCCATTTTCTACTACAGTCTCTTTGATAGGTTTACTACTTTCAGTAGAACCGTTCTTTGGGTTATTAATCTTTTCTACGAATAGTTCACCGCTACTGTTTAGAGAAATCTCAATATTGTGGGGTATCCACGAATGTGAATAGTATAAGTGACTAGGTGGAGTTGCAATAGATGTTGTAGTCATTGTGGGAGGTGTTGCAGGTGGAGTTGACAGATTTTCTAATAGAAATTAAGAATATTAACTGATTACGGCAGATACTTTAATGGTAACAGAGTAATTTCTAAGAATAATAAACGTACCTGAATCTTTACCCGCATGTCTAAATCTACAACCAACTCGGGTGCAATTATTACCGTACCGACAGGGTTTTACGGTAACAGGAACGGGACTTGAAGACGGGCTACTTTCTATTCCACATAATACTTTTTGGACAACAATGTCCATTTGGGATTGCCAAAATGACTTATCCTACAATAATGATTCATTCAAAATATTTAAACACAATTGTAAAATACATTATTGTACTCCAAAAGTTGCACTCATAGACACTACAATATCAAACACAGATTTATTTAGACATCTTCTCTGAAGAGTTGTGACAATTTTATAGAATTAAAATGCAAATAAAACAACCTTATCCGTTGTTATGACTGCTCGCTATGTGACCATTGGTTTTTTTAAATTTTAGGACGTATGTATAAGTTTGTGATCTATGTACCTGTTGTGTGTCTAAACCACAGTTCAGTGCCAATATTTGAGGTAGTTTAGTCAATTGTCGAAATTGGAGAGTAGGTGTAAATTTTTGACAACTGTCACACCATGCAGGTGTAATTTTCTCGGGTCTTAAACTGCGGGCAAGAACACTTGTAAACGGAACCTCCTCTGCTATAAAAGGTAAAATGCATTTGTTTAAGTTACGAGAAAGGTGTATTCAACACGCACGGAAAAAACCGTATAGCTTGAATATTGTCTTACAAGGATCTGTTAATTCCGGATAAACTAAGTTACATAGTAACATGATGGAATGTTTTGTAGCTTCTTGCCCACATTTGAGACAACAATGCATGTGCGTTTGTTCCGATCCAAACAGACGACTGATTTCTGTCTCTTCATCTCGCACTTCGTTCTCTTCGATAGATTTTTTGTTGTTCTTATCTACCCGCAATAAAGATCAATATAAAATTTCAATGAATTGATTTTAATAATACTCAATAAAAAGTTAATAATATACATATATAGAAAGTTATATATTTTTATAAGTACCTCTATTTTTATATATTTGCTATAACCAATTACAGTTTGCATTACAAAACAAGTGATAGAATGTTTAAGAATCCTTGCCGAAAATGTGATTGGCATTAATATTATATTGTCGGAAATATTTAATTTATTGTGAAATAATTTCGAGTAAGCCAAATATTCTATGCTCAAAGCTATAACAGTTATTGTCAAGGACAATAACGATCAAATGTTGATCGAAGAATTTCTACCATGCCATAAATTGTTACAAATTTCTCGCATAAAACTCTACCAAGACGCAATTAAATTAAACAATTTTTAGTTAACAATTGCCACCAACATTACGACACGGCTATTATTTAATAATTTACAATAAAATAAAATTTATTCCACGTGAAAGTTCATAAAACGATCCATATCTTGCATGTTTCTGTATATCTCAATTTCTATCTGTTATAATTATTAACAATTCGCATTGTAAAAGGGATGAAACAATGTTGAACATCTCCCACCAAAGATGTGATTGTTATAAACATTACAATATTAAACTTATTCTGAAATAAATCAAAGAATTCCTACTGTTCTACAAATTTTTATGAATTCCTTGTTTAAAACGCTATCAAGGCACATTTTCAATAAATAATATTTAGTTAACAATCGTCATAAACATTAAGACATAGTCATTGTTTAATAGTTTGCAATAAAGTTAAATTTATTACACGTAAAAGTTCATTACACGGTTCATATCTTGAAAGTTTCTGTATATTTCCATTTATATTTGTTATAAACAATAACAATTTGCATTACAAGACAGCTGACAGAATGTTTAACAATATTTCTCAGAGAGGTAATTGTCATTACAATTACCTTATTAGAAATAATAAATTAATCGAGAAATAATTTTTGGCGAGCTCGAGTTTCCAGTGCACTCAATGTTTGCGCACTTGACCGCGCACCAGTGCGCGCAAGTTCATGGTCGCTGCGAGCCCATAAATACGAGCGCGCAATAACAAATCCTCAGTCCACTCGCGTCCGTGGGCCTCGTCGAGGTCTTTCGATTGCTGACCACTGGTGGACACTGATCAAGGAAGGTTCAAGGGGTCCTCTCTATTATCCGAACTCGTCGAGGTCTCCCCACGACTGCTGACCACTGCTGACCACTGCTGACCACTGCTGACCAATGCTGACCACTGGTGGACACTGGTCAAGCGGGGTTCAAGGGGTCCTCTCTATTATCCGAACTCGACTCAGGGGTTCGTTTTTTTTATTTTTTTTTTATTGTGATTCATTTTAATTAATTGGGTTATATTTTAATTTATTTTAATTAGGTACGTGTGTTTCATTTTAATTTACGGTTAGTAACACCTAGATAGATCAATAATCTGCGATCGAATATTTAATTGAATAACATACGTTCAATAGACTACAGTAAAAGTTAGTAATATACAAACAGTTCATTATGTAGGGTAGTCTACATGTCAAAATTCAGTTATGCTAATTTTGTTTAAAATTAAATTCGTAAAAAAATTTATACTACATGGATACTCTTGTTTACTCTTTAAGAAATGTATAATAAAAAAAAAGAATTTTAAATTGACTTCAATTTTAAAGCATTGCTTATACTTATTTTTACAAATGGGGCATGCAATTGTGGAAAACAATGTCTTCTTTCCTATAAAAAAAGGGAATGAAATGAAATTCATAAAAAACAGTGTGGAACAAGCAATTGGATACATTTTATCTTCGTGTAGCATAATCAGGAACAAAAAGGGGTGCAGTATCCTAAGAATACAGCAATAAATAATATTTTACATAAAATAATATTCATGTGTGAAAATATGCTAGATCAAACGATGTTGAACTAAATTGCCGTTGATATTCTTCGGATATATTGCCAATTAAGTGCAAATGTACAGTCGGATACAAAATGAAAAATAAACACAAAGAGTGCCCAATGTGAAGGTTACACATGAATTGTGTTTACCTTTCGATGCGATCCACATATATTTACCATCCTTCCCTTGCTTCCTCCTTCTCTTCCTCTCTTCGTCGTGACTTCTGTACCGCGAGCCAATGTCCTGCAAGATACTAGGGAAGTCTTGCTCATTATAAACGAATGGTGGACATGTAGGACCTGATTTGAGACGAGCTGCTTCCTCTTCCTCTTGATGTCGTTTCCTTGTCTCCAGTATCTCATAATGAATTTGATGAAGAATAAACCTATTCCAACTCTGAAAGGTTGTTCAAAGTGATCAATGAACACTGAAACTTTACAATCTAGACTCCTCTCGATTATCGTCTGGCTTGTTCTACACGATTATTGTCTACGCATTACCCCCACCACTGAGGGGGGGGGGGTGGAACACTTTTGTTACCAAGCGTCAGGCTTCGAGCAAAAAACGAATTTACGAAGGTCTGAATCATTTCTCCCTAAAGGATTATTGTCCTGGTGCGGACCCGAATTCGGGACGATAATCGAGAGGAGTCTGTATTTTTCTCTGGAAAGAATAGACCATCATATTTCGAAACAATTGGGGAATATTAGCCAAATATCAGAAATGAATGAAACACTCCTAGATATAATAATATTTTTATTAAACATGCAACTTATATGAAAACATAAAAAATTCAAAGCTACCAAACACCCCATTAGTTGACAAAGTTGAATAAAAAAATAATACTGTTGAATATCGTATATCATACTTGTATTAAGCGATTCAAGTTGATTTTTCTTTTAGCTTCCGGGTGTAGATCGCTCAATATAAGTCCTAACGCAGCTGCTTCTGGAACTGTCCTAAAAGCTCGAAGGAAATTTGCAGCTTGACAAGGCAATCCCCGAGACGTGTCTAACATGTGGAATAAGAATCCTAGTTCACAGGAGAGACAGAATTCTCTTTGGCACGAGTGTGAGAGTAACGCTATTCTCACAGGTTCACAATAATAGAGTAACTGAAAAGCCAGACACGAATCTTGTAAAGTACATTCTTTCGACAAAAAAAAGCCGGTTGATTATTGCCTGTATCGTTGCACTTACCTGTAACATAGCATTACAATAACTGTTGGGAAGCGTGGCTTCCAGTCCACAGAAGTTGGTACGATTATACTGATCGAAATCGAATTCATCGTAACCGAGACGTGAGTATTTCACCTCGATTTTACGATAACGCTTAGGTATGGCCACAAAGGTACCGTCATCTGTCTTAGATCGTGAGTCCCCCGCGAAAAGCTTTGCAACTACGCCACGTCGTTTTTCCAAATTGTAAGGTATCTGCAAAACAGGTATTATTTATTTTTTTTCAATTAATCGAATGACTGCTTTTTTTTTTTGTTATTTTGGGATGGCGTATACGCGATTTATAGTACGCATCGACGAATGCTTCTCAATCGCGCGTAATTTGTCAACATAATTTGGACCGTGAAAAAATAAATAATACCTATTAAATAAATATTACAATCTTTATTTCACTCAAATACAACTTCGATTATACATTCTTTCAGAAATATGTTCCACAAGCAATAAGCGTACTAAGATTATTGAGCACAAACTATGAAACGGAAACAAAGACAATGCATCAGTTACAAACATATTGTGTTTTAAGGCGAGATTCAAAGGCAGCAGATCTATCTCACACTGGCTTATAAAATACAGGGATTTGAGATTGTAAACATCGATATGAAACTCTGATATTTTCTTTAGAAGCATTTTGTCAATGTGACTCGACTTACTTTTTTCTTTTTTAAACTTTCGCTATTTTTAACCATTGACAATCGTGTACTCGATTTGCGCTTCAAATACTTCGAGGACATAATTATACAGATATATGTTTTTTATTTTCAAATTTGAGATCTTTAATAATAAATATTTCAAATTTTATGCAATCTCAAGAGTTAGTAACAATATCATTTCTCTTTGAAGAAATTGAACTGGTTCTTAATAACTGTACTCTCACACAGTCATCAAAGCTCAGTTGACAAATTTAAAAATGTTTGAAATAGATTAAGTTTAGAAAAATTTAATGACTAAAGGGAAACGTTAAAGACATATAAATATACATTTTATGATAAGAACTAACAGCTCTATAGTTTTATCACTTTGGTGATAGAAATGAGATCAAGTAAACATAACATATTTACAGTTAAATTTGTTTCTAATAGTTTCTTTTGCTAAAGATATTAATATGAAAGCGAGAAAGTAATTAATTAAAAGAACGTGAACAATATTTCAGCATTATGTAAGTACACGTTTTCAATGCCTCACTCAGGTCTTTTTTCTCATACATTACTGTAGAGGAAATTATTAGAATACTGTGGACTAGTTTATGAAAATATATCACGTTTCTTAAACGTTGTTTATAGACTATAATATTTATCACGGAACGTTATCAGTCTTAATCGCGTTATATAATTTTGATTCCTCTGCAAAATTAATGGTTTCATTCATATTGAGCTCGTCTCTTTGTCGCAAATAACACATTGTTCTGATTCATTGTACTGATTTAATACTGCGATTATACCACCAAAGCTACAATGAAGTAATTAGTAGAAAATACCTCTTAGGTATTCGATATAGTTAATATTTTCTTGCAAAACTGATCCAATTAACACACACTACGTGTGTCAGCATATACGGAATGTATAGTTATCATAATTGATTATAACTACACATTCTATATAAAATCAATGAAACAATGTTCCCTGGGAACTTAAACTATTTAAATTCAAAGACAAATAGACGTTCACAACTTTCAACAGTAATAATTTGTTGTGTTTTATCTCTTCATCCATGATATAACTGGCAACAAGAAGTTTAAACATCAAAAATGTAACATAACTTATCTTCTAGAAGTATAATTGGAAACCACGGGGGAACACTCGAATGAAGGGAAAATAGGAAATTTGGATTTTAGGAGAGTGTCTGGAAAGATTTTGAACAATACTGTAGTAAAGTGGGAGAATATTGTTTCCTCACTTGATTTCTGCGAAACGCCTGAGGATTTGGGGCGTAACCGATTGTTCCTTGCATTTTCATTGTGCGCAGAATTTCGGGATCAATCGATGGCGTTTTCCTGTGAAAGTACGGAATAAATAAAGTTTTAGAAGTTGTTACATACAAATTGACATTTGTAACTATACTACACATTTCAAGTTCAAAGTTATAAATTTATATTCTTTACTATACTTGGTTCTACTTGAACATCATTAAATGTCTCCAATATGTGATCCATCAATTGCTGCAACATACCTATAAACTTTCTTTAGATATTCTTCTGGCCAATCACTTAATAATGGATGCCCGGTATAAACAACAGGTATTGTACTTAGCGGTGTAACATCATCATCAAATGCTATAGACTGAATTGATTCAACTGGATCAGCAAATTCTGTTGGCCTAAATAAAGAAAAATACAGATTTCTTTACTGCCTTTCAAGTTTGTCTCTTGTGTAATTCCGAATCATTATATACTAATATAACTACTAACCGAGAAAATGTATTAAACTGTGGTTCAGGTGTATTTGTAGACATAAGATGTATGGAACCTGCTGAATCTCCAAAACAGAGGCATTGAGATGTAGAGGATACATCAAACGATAAAATCATAGTACCACCAGTAGCAACCTACCAATACAATAAAATCTGTATGCAAGAAATGCAACTAGGGACTTTCTCCTAAAAATTTTTACATATATTTACCTGATACAAACATGTCATAGATGGTTGTACATTAGCGTAGATAGTATCAAGAAGTTGCATTTGTCCCAATGGTGATATAACAGCTAAACGACTTGAGTAGCTGGGTAGGAACTTCAATAAAAGGGGGTATACTAGAGTTGTAACAGGACTCAACGCTCTCATTTGTCTGAGATCATATGCCATTAAGAATCGATCTACCGAGAGACCCTGACGACTAAACCCATAAATGCAATTAGTAAGACACACTTTAGACATAACTAACAATTTTTAACAGCTTTCTTAAATTTCTGATTAATCTGTATCTTACCTATTACTGAAACCACACGTAACGAGGTAATTTCCTTGAACATCAAAATCACTAAGTGACCCACTATGAGTATCGAAAGTATGTTCTACTGATAATGTATTTGGATCCCTGAGATCAATTCGTCCAGCAGGATTGCCAGCACATATAAATCTACTATGCTGCCTTAAAATTGCACAACCACTTTCCCCTACATTTACCTATAAGTACAAGAAAGTACTGATCCATGAACGCAGAGTTAATTAATGATTTTACTAATATTTATAGACACTCACTACTCCAGTCTCTTTTCCTCTGGTGAGATTAAAATCAATTATTTTATCCTGATGTCCCCCCATTAGTAATCTAGTCGGAGAAATTTGAAGCATGCATTGCATGTCTATCATATTCGATGACCTATAATGTTATGCACAATTATAGAAAATATTTAATCATTTCCAATGTGTAATGTATAAGATTAACATACATATGTGTAAATATTGGTATGCCTCTCCTCAATTGACATCTTAATAAACTTTGTGTCAAGATTAAAATTCCCTCGTCCAATGGATGAATATGCCGAACTTCTTGTGTAGCATGTACTTGAAAAGAGGTGTATTTTTGTAACCCAGCCCCATAGTAAGATGTTACGTGACCCTACAAAATTTTTTGTTTGATCACCATTTCTAAGAATACTTAAACTTGTTAGATCAAACTGTGTAACAATTATTCTTATACCCCTTGATTCCCCATCCACATAAGTTCTTCGACAGTGTCAAAAGTGGCTGTAGATACACCAAACCTATCCCCCCCATCAGCAAGTAAAGTACGAGTTTCATGAAACTCGGCTCCAGCAAACTCTTCTCCGAATTGTTCTGTAGCAGGTACATATTCTTCAGTGGACAATACATAATTTGTGTCTTCCCCTGGAATAAAATATGTAAAAGTTGACCAAGAAAACACTTGATAGTGTCGGATACCGGCCATACGTTTATTAATAATATCATTATTGTTTCTAGCAGTTCTCATATCTACAACAGAATTGCAAAATCAAATTTTCTAATTAAAACAGCAGTAACATATTCAATTTTCAAATTGCCTCATCCTGTGAAATAATGACAGTTAATGAAGCCTAAACAGCTGGGCAATATAAACAAAAATATACTTGAAAACAATAGAAGGACAGATAGCAATCAATAACAATTTATTGAATTAACAGATAAGCATTTATTAGGCAAATATATTCTGATACTAGTAGGTAATAATTCATAATTTAAGATTTGGAGAGCAACATTTACAATAATATGGAGTATTGATTATTAAAACCAATACAAACAAAATGAAATTCACACAATATGAAAATATTATTTGAAAATACATATAAGACGGTATAGCTACATAATCAATTTTTTTCGTTATAAATCTTTTTCCCTTGGAAATCTGAAATGATAGAGAAAACCTGCTGCCGGATCCGATTATTTCTTAAATTGTATGAAAGACATTGAACATTTTTTACGAGGAAAAAAAAAACAAAATCTTTTTTGTAGCAGAGTGTAAATTAGGAAAGGAAGGGTTGGAAAATTTCTATTTCGAATTTTATTGATCTCTGGTAGCAGGACGCCAGATCGCGCATCCTGATCGAAGCAACGAGTGTCACGAGAGCGAGTAGGTTTCGCGCCATTCCAAGTCTTCGAGTTTACAGTCAAATAGACCGCACATTGACGGGATGCGGAGTTTCTGGCGGCTTTATTGAAAGGGAAATAATGCTGGAAAAGACGAGGATTAGTACTCACAAAGCTGTTCCTGTTCGTCGCCGCCGCCGCTCTCGGCCGTGGCCTCTACGCTCAGGTCGTAGTGGCCTAAAACCGGATAGTCCATAATATTCCCGTCTTCAGTCTGTTCGTTTTTCAAACATCGAATCGCCGTCAGTCGGAAGGTAGCTGTAGAATCGTCGTTCTGACGGTCGTTCTCTTCTCATAGCACACTTTCTGACACGCACACGCACGCAGCCACGCACCTTAGTCGCCTTGGCAACTGTGCAACAAGCGAAACACTTCGTCACGGATATTCACCGTTTTCCCGCCACTACACGATTGAAACGATTAACATCGCACGCGACATAATGCGTCCAGAACCGCTTTATCGCGATACGCGAGGTGGCCGGATCATCGATACACCTTTAATTCATGATTCCACTTTTCTACGCGTTTCACTCGTATAAGGTTGTATGACGGCCTTGAAGGTGGCGACATCTGCTGTTGCCGCGTCGACCAGTAACGCCAATGGCAAGGACGCGAAAATCACTAGGCCATGCTCGTTTTCCCGCTCGAACTTGAACGCGAAACGAAGGCGCGAAATCGAACGCGGGATTTAATAAGGATTTCGTTTAATCATACGCAAGGATGGAAACTGTGCATATAAGTTGTAAACCTTGGGTAATTTCGCACTTACCATTACGATTTAGAGAAATTCAATTTTATATTTGATTCGCTAGATCAGAATTTTTTTAAACATATTACTTTTTAAGATTTAATTCGTTTTCAGTATTTTGTAGATTTTAGGATCGTAAGGTAATGTTTGTTTGGACGTATGCTAATATATTTGTTTCATCTTTCTTGAACGTTTGTAACTACCTACACGTTTTTTGTAGCATTCAGACATTTTAGAAGCGAATGTAGAAACTGTTGATGATATTAAATTTGAATTACTTATGTTGACCAGTAGCATTGTGTGAAGTATTAGAATAAATTTTGTACATCTAGAGAATAATATAATGTATTTATTGAACACCAATATATGTACATATGTATATATTTGACGAATTATATTTAACATTTTGCATATCACGTGAGAAACAATGAGGATCACAGAAGTGTCGAAGGAATGTACAGGTTTTTGTTTAGAAAATACAATGTAAATAATTTGTAACACTTTCAAAAATACATTCATCTTTCAGTACTTTTACGTGGTCTGTGCGTTGTTCGTACGTGGAAGGATATGAGGAAGCAAGGACGTTTGACTCCCTTCCGTTTCCGGTCTCAAACAGATTTTGCGGTCTTCTGTTCGCATACACATTCTCCTATTTGTCACGTCATCTAAAAAAAAAGAAATAATTAAATGATGTTAATTGTTTAAGAGCAGGTCTATGTGAAAATTACCTGATAAAAAAAAAATGGTATGGAACTATTGAGGGTTGTAAGCAAATAGATTGCGTAGCTTAGCATCAGCAGAGTTTCAACTGTTAATACAAAGTTGCTAGTAAATCGTTGGAGCCGCTAAGTACAATTTGAAAGCAATAACGTCTTTTATGGAAGTCCTTTTGGATGGTGGGTTTTCCAAGTAGTAAGAATTGTTCAGAAAAAGTCGTGGATATAATTGTTATGCGATACGTGAGACCTAATACATGAAAAATAACATTATTGTGTCAATAAATATCTTATGAAATATATTTTGTTAACCTACCATTTAGTCTAAGACGAGTACCCTGTTAGTGTTAACACGAGTGTAGTTTCAAATAACTGAATAGATCGGCCTTACTAGAACGAATATAAAGTATTTTATATTCTCTATAACGAGTAATTAGAATTTTAAATATTTCAACATCTGATTCACAAATATTAAAGAATTAATAGAAGTATTCAGTAGCTGGTCCTACCAACAGGATGATTCGACATAAAGTAAAATGTAAAAGCAATTTAAATTCCAATTGAAGAAAGCTCATATTATTATATAAATTCAACCGCGCGTTTTTATGCAAATAATATTTAGCAATACTTATTTATTTCGATGTCGAAAAAATTTCAATACCTTCAACGACATTTAATGTTTTCGTGTAAATCGGAAATGAAGAATGAAACTGTAATTAACTGTAGGAACCTGATATTTCACTTAAAGACGCGATATATTATGCAAGGAAGTCAGGCGCAACAACAAAGAATTTATAGTAAGGTAGCTAGTAAGCGATTGTTTTACGGATAGTAAGAATGCAGTTTACGATGCAGATGTCCTGTTCACCTAGTCCGTTTGCTAAAGCTGAAGCAGATTCCTGCGAAATCCGAAGACTCGTTTACCTTAATGTCGTCGAATCAGCCGTGTGCGATGCTGAAGAGCGTTAATGTGATTTCCAATTTCGTCCTCATTCTCTGCTGATTGACGACGTGACATCCGATTATTCGGGGTGCCGCTCAATGAGCCAGCAGTTTGCGTGGAGGGTTGCGACGGAAACGAGGAACGGCGAATTAGCGGCGGTGGTCTTGCACCTACGGGGGTTCGATTCAGCCATTTACGTACGATATCTTTTTATAACCTTGCACACAAGCTGGTCTAATTATATGCTACCTAATAAGCGTAAAGCGGATCGATGCATGCCTTGCATTTCAAAAGACCTCTGACTCTTCATCGGTTCCCTCGGAATAAAGCGTCTCTGCACGGGAAGTTCGATCGTGGAAGCTTTTCTCGAGCTGGCATTACCTGCCTTAGACGAGTCCTTAGGCGGTTTTTAAAAATATGCACATGTACGTATACTCGTGTTTGTTGGTTTTTGCGTAGACACAGAATGAAATATTTTGTTATTCGTTATATATGGCGGACGTGAAATCAATCAGTGTAAAGCTTCGTTACATCGATCTCTTACAAAAATATAACGTTTCTAATGGAACAACGTGCTTTATACGTACTATTTCCCTATAGATAACATACTATACAAACAACATTATTTCTCTTTTAATTCGGATCTACGATAGTATTCTCTATTTCTATCTCACTTTCGTTCACGGCATTCCGTAACGTATACTCGCTAAATAGACTTTGAAAGCGCTATCTTTATTTCGCATATGTTTATCATACGAACGTTTTAATATGTTTACATTTCTCGAAATTCTGCCGTTTTACGTGAATCTACACTGATTGGATTTGCAAACCACGATAATATAGAATTCAGAAGAATCGTGCTAACTCTTCGATCTGGATTCAAAATTAAAGTAAGAAACTAGTGCGGTCGCCGCGGTAATACCTTGTCTCTAGCGAAACGTATTCGCAACACTTCAACTAGAGCAGCTATCGCTGATATCAGAAGCATCGTCACGAGAATATGTCCTGCCACTGGAACAGATTTCATTCGACGATCTTTCCCGCAATCTTCCGTGCTTTCTGTCAAGTTCTCACTATCGGTCTCCTTCGAGACCGCCAACCCTTTGCTATCATCGTCGATCGTCTTGCTCGTATCTTCTCCAATCTTCTTCATCAATTCGTCGGTCGTATAGATTCGCACATACGTGCAATTCCCGTCGTAATCGGTGCGGAAAACCGACTGTAGGCGATCCTCATAGCCGAGTCTTGGACACCGCTTTAATTTCCGATGGTCTATCGGAATCACTAATGTATTGGACATCGTTGCGTTTTCCATTTCTGTGGTATCATTTGTATCGATGGTCTGGTTGCGACTGTAGTAATTCGTGTTCAACAGTAATCGTAAAGGTAAAGATAATAGCACACCGAAGATCGTTAGAATCACGAGAATGCTGACGTTAATGCCTAGCGAGATGCGTTTCTCGGACATCTTGATGGAACGTTGAAAGGCAAATTATATTCACAAATTGTTTCTCCTCGAACAATGTAGCATTTTCATCGGTTGCATTGTATAACACACGGCTTCCATACTTTCCACGTTCATGCTGGGTTCTTCAGACACTGACCGTTCTTCAATGGACGTTGTCTGACCTCAGCAATGGTTCTAGAACCTTCCAACTCCTTATCAACTGGAATAATTAAGTCAATCACAATGTATCTTCTCGTAACTTTCGTTCAGACGCAACTGTTGCACATGCTGTTGTGACTGCAGTTCCAAGTGAACCTGGACGTCGACTGATATTGATTTCCAGGTGGAGATAGCCACGTACGCGCAAGTCCCACGGAACCTCTTCTGCCGAGGAATCCCGCACTTGGCGGTAATTAAATGTCGTTTAAATTGAGCTTGCTGTTAAACAGTCGGCGCCTATGTAGAGACTAAATCGATAGGATGCTCGAGTTACAGCTTTGAACGTCAATGGCGGGTCGCAAGTGTCCGATTCTAAAAAAAATCACTGCGTGTTACAGTAGGGGGAATATATTTTTACGCAGACACAGTTTTCAGATTGTGCTGTATCTAAAATTTTTAAATATAACAAAAATCAGTCGCTATGCGTGCATATGTATTGTACAAGGTCGTTATCACTTTGGAAATAGTATCGACGCTTTCTGGAGGTAAGAAGATTTAGAGATACATTTAATTAGTTTTTATTCTATGTTTTTATTACATTTAGTACAGAATCGACCGAGTTGTCAAAATTGTCCTCAACAGGCTAATTATCCCGAGTAGTATTTGAAAAGGTAATTAATTTTGTCTTGGTTACAAGGATTATCGGCGTGAATTGACATTCATTAAATATTTCACGTCTGTTCTACCAACGCCATGTTTATTGCAAACAAAAAACAAAGCCTACAAAACCAGAGACTGCGCAAATTTGCTGCGCCGGCTGAGCTTGAAAGCGCCTGGCGGCGCAGGAGTCGATTCGTCGTCGTGTTCGCAGGGTCTTCGGTTTCCCGTCGAAAGGAAGGAAGCGGTATCCCGGCAAGGGCGGCAGGGGAACGGTTTGAAATGGGCAGGTTCTCTAGCGCGTGCATACATAAATAATATTAGACAATATCGAATTAAAATTCGCATCTTTCTGCAAGCAACAATGGGGCCGTGGTGCCCCAACAAAGGAAATGCCCGCCGCAAGAGGCAGGCTGTCTGACGGTGGCGGCGGCGGTGGTGGTGGTGGTGGTGGCAGCATCGGCGGCGGCGGCATTTATAAAAGTAATAAAACAGTCGAACAACAACTCCCTGAAGTGAGTAGCCGGCAAGAGAGAAAGAGAAGAAGACGAAGTTGAAAAGGGCGAGTGAGCGGGATACTACGTGTAGGTGAAAAGAGGAGGGCGAAAAGGAAGGTACAGAAAAACAGACCAAAAGAGAGAGATGAGGCACAGGAGAACAGCGACCCGACCCGACCGACCGGTAGCCCAGCCAGCGCACGTATATCTTGCTCTGCTACACCGCACGCCGATTCTTCGAGGTTCTCATTGATGAATTCGTTCTCTTATAAAACGGAATCATGTGATTGCTCATCCCCTTCCTGCAAGACTTCACCCAAGTCCAGGAGGAGCCAACGAGTTGAAATAGTGGAAAACGTCGCTAACAAATCATAACTTGGGATAATTATTATTCATACATGGTATAACGTCCATTGAAATCGCTAATAAGATCGAAACCGCGACCAGAGGGTTGCTAACACGGATATTGGAAGATAAACTAACGTGGTAGCTCTTAATTAGCCCGATTATTAATCCATCACGGCCCTACGTTTGTTCCTCCGTTTGAAATCCGTTCCTTTTCGTACGCTACCTGCATCGGAGAAACTTCTCGGAAATTCGTTTCGCGAATATTACCAGCGTTAATTTAATCGCGGATACCAGTTCTGTCCGACGGGGAATCCGCGCGAGCTGTTCAATTGACTCGAACCAGTTCTCTAAACGAACCGTAATGACATTAGCCGTCGGGCAAACATCGAAAAACGATGTCCATCCGGTGTACGTATGCATGTATAACCGTGTGCGCGAGATCGTGGTAGGACACACGCAGGTGCAACCGGTCGATTATCGGGACGAATCTTCTGCGGGAACAGATGAGTGGAGGTTGAGAGCCAGGGTATGTAGAGCAGATGCTGGACCATGGTAGTGGTGGCGGGGTGCATGATTTTTCACCGCCGACAGCTCCTCCTTCGAGAACCCGCGCATTCCACCTCCTTCCTTCTCCTTCTAGACCCCTCTTGCTCCTTTGCCGCCGTCGGTCCCCTTCATCCTTCACTCTTCGTTCGTATCCAACTGCTGCTCATCTCTCTCAGGTTCAACCCTCTATCCCCCTCCACCCTTCGTTTCTTTCTTCTTCCTCTTTCTTTCCTTCCCCTCTCGGTGGCGAACATCGGCAACGTATGCCGCGGACACGCCACTGGACACCAGTTGCACGATCTTAGATTTGCTGATCTCGCATCCCGAGTGCACCGACACACGGATACAGCACACACTCCGATGCTTGAGCACACGATGGTCGAAGGGGGCACGCCTGGCCAGTGGCTGTTCCTTGTGCTCGCGTGTGTAACTCGGCCGGCTTGCACGTTCACGCACGCGATATACAAAAGGGGGCCCCCAGTCCACGATGCTCGTGACCGTTCCGAGAAATGATTTTCAATAATCGGCCTGCAGGGAAATATGAAAGGCGTGCCCGGGGATGCTTCGTGTCACGACGGCTCGGTAATTTTGATTGATTCTCCGCGTGCTGGATCGCGACTGATCACCGTACCACCGCTATCGCGTGAATGTGATAATGTTACTTGGCGCGGGTGGTGCTCGTTTCGCGTGAATCACTACCGCCTTTGAAATTTATTTCATGGTTTTCAGTTAAGGAGCCACTTACAATTACTGACGTGTGCCTGTTGTTATGGGAAGGTGTAGAGTATCGTAGTAACAAGCTTGTTCCAATATCAGTGTCAAATGTTTATTACATTTTGCATCATCTAATGTAAATTACATCTTTTGGACACCTCAAAGTTACAGAATAGTTGACGGAATATAAAGGAGGGTTCCACCTAGTTTACATGAAACCTCACCTGATCCCACAGAAAGGATCATACTATCGCAATCGTGATCACTTTCTATTGATCTTCAGAAAAAGAATAGAAAATATCCCTAACCACTTGGCTCGATAGATCGATCCGCTTCTTGTCTCCATTTTCCATCTGTTTCCAAAGTGATCCCGCGTGTTACGATTTCCAACATAGCGTACGTCGGCAGCCCCGTAGCTCGTTAGGCTTGTAATTTACATTTGCCAGTCGAGCGGTACAACATAGTTGAATCGCCGTTGAATAGAATCAACACTCGGGCAAGAGCTATTCCCGCGAAACGTGGTGATTTACGCAAGCGTGGCCTGTTTGTGTGTGTGTGTGTCTGTGTGTCGGCGCGGTTGGTTCTGGGCCGAGGCATAGAAAGCGAAATCGACTTGTAAATCGGAGTGCCATTATGCAGATACCAAGATGCACGGGGCCTGCGTCGACGAGAAAAACGGGCCGGTGGGGTATCGTCTGGGTCTCGGTGGTTGTAGCCCGGCAACACCGGGGGGATTTACAATCGAGGGAGATCGGAAATCACTGGCCAGGCCGTGGGCATTAGCCATCAAAGGTATGGAAGGCGCGAATGCAGCTAATTGGTGTAGCACGAGCCGGTGTTACGGGTAGCTCAGGGGGAGCGCGCATAGCTGTGAAATTTCCATCGAAAGCGTTTTATAAAGTACGGACAGGGACGAACTGGAGGACGTACGACCCCGCTAGGGGCAGGGGGGAGGGCTGGTGGTAAGAGAGTCGCATCCCGCTTGAACGATGTTGGAGGGAGAAAAGGGGGACAAAGGGGTAAGCATCGCAATTACGCAAATTGCGGCTCTGTTCTCGCCTCCTCGGGGGCTTACTGGCCCCGCGGAAGGGCATCAAGACGGGCAGCTCAGACTGAAGGATGGTGTTACATGGAATGCTCAGCGGTTCGCACGTACCACCGGTTGCACGTACATACACAGAACACTCATCCCCTTTCTCGATCGGTTCAATCGAGCAATTTGAATGAACGACACGAGAAGCAGGCGAGTTTGTTGTATCGGGTTGATCCGAAAGGGCTACCGTTCATCCACTCCGTCGGGGCCTGATCGCCGGGAGGTGGCTCGTCTGGCATGGTACCTCACTCCGGCACGAAAGGAATCGCTTCAAGAGCAATGAAAAATGCTGTTTATATCGGGGAAACTGGTTGAACGGCGCGTCGCGCTCGATCGCCAGCCACCAAGCGCGTGCCTCGCTCTGCGGTCTTATTAGCGCTGATCAGCCTCCGCGATAAATTTATGTGCCTGCCTCGAGATATATATGCCGCGAGGCATCGTCGCCAACGGGGTAAGAAAAAAAAAACAAAAAAAACCACCGACGCCGTTACGCGCCGGGATCCCCGTAGTTTCTACGTCGATTCTGCCTCCGCGGGCATGTCGAGGACGTTTTTGCGTTACCGCCGCGCCGTACCCGCTGACAGTACGCCTAACAGAGACCGACAGAAAATCTATCAGGCTTTCAGTGAAACCAGCGTATACTTACACACGTACACCGCGGCTGGAATTTCTAATGCCGGCGCACGCCAGCTATGTCGGGCACGACGATTGGCGAGAAATCGTTTTATGCTTTGTAACGTCGCCTTTTTGCCACCGAACGAATCTGTCCCGTTCGCTGTCCCGTTCCTCTTCCTGTTCCTCTTCGCGCCGCCAGCACCAGACAAGAACGCGTCGGTTTCGCGGGTGGGTTGTCGATCCTGATGACTTTGCTAGGATACGAACTCGATTAATTGATGCCGAGCTTAGAGCGTGTGTGTTCGTGTAGTTTTAATTCAATGGATACAATTTACGAAATTTTTAGTGTACTTGGGTATTAAATGAGTACGCAATCCTTTTATTAACCTAATCACTGCATATGTATGGTATTTTGTATAACAATTTTGTATACAATCAGGGACCAGCAGTCATTTTAAGACTACTTGGAATATTTAAAAAAAAATATTTTGTAATAAACAGTGTGATTGTTCATGATAAATAACGAAGTAGTGGTCACCGTGACACTGTTCTTCTAATGCTTAGTCAAGAAACGTTTCCGATATTGTCCCTGAAGTAATAAAGTATGTCTGGCTACGTACGGAATTTTTCACTGTGTGAGTCAACGTGTTAATCAGCGTCCTCTTTCAGATATATCAAACGGCGGTTGTTCGAAATGCCT